GTTGGTAGTGGTTGGTTGTTTGGTTGTACAGAAGCTCTTTAGTTTGATCAGGTTCTATGGTCAATTTTTATTTTTGTTGCAATTACTTTCAGAATCTTCATCATGAAGTCTTTGCCAAGGCCTATGTCTAGAATGGTATTTCCTGGGTGGTATTCTAGGGTTTTTATAGTTTTAGGTTTCGCATTTAAGTCTTTAATTCATCTTGAGTTATATTTTGTATATGGTGAAATACAGGGGTCGTTTCAGTCAGTCCAGTTTCACTTGGCTGCATATGGCTAGCCAATTATTCCAGCACCATTTATTGAATGGGCAATCCTTTCTCCATTGCTTGTTATTGCTGGCTTTATCAAAGATTACATGCTGTAGGAATGTAGCTTTACTTCTGTTCCATTGGCCTATGTGTGTTTTTGTACCAGGATCACACTATTTTAGTTACTATACCCTTGTAATATGGTGTGAAGTCAGGTAGTATGATGCTTCCAGCTTTGTTGCTTTTGCTTAGGCTTGCTTTGGCTATTAAGGCTCGTTTTTTGTTTCCAATGAATTTTAGGATTTTTTTTCCTAATTTGGTGAAAAGTGTCATTGATAGTTTGATAGGGATAGCACTGAATCTGAAAATTGCTTTAGACAGTATGGCCATTTAAATTATATTGATTCTTTCTATCCACAAGCATAGAATGTTTTTCCATTTGTTTGTGTCATCTCTCATTTCTTTTAGCTACGTTTTGTAATTCTCACTGTAGGGATCTTTCACCTCCCTGGTTAGCTGAATTCCTAGGTATTTTACTCTTTTTGTGGTTATTCTGAATGGGATTGTGCTTCCAATTTGACTGTCATCTTGGATGTTGTTGGTGTACAGAAATGTGACTCAGTTTTGTACATTGATTTTGTATCCTGAAACTTTGCTGAAGTTGTTTATCAGATCTAGGAGCGTTTTAGCCAGGACTGGGGTTTTCTAGGTATAGAATTATATTGTTTGCAAACAGAGATAGTTTGAATTTTCCTCTTTCTATTTGGCTGTATTTAATTTTTTCTCTTGCCTGACTGCTCTGGGCAGGACTTCCAGTACTACATTGAATAGGAGTAGTGAGAGTTAGCATCCTTGTCTTTGAACATTTATTCATTAAACTACAGTTTACTTTCTGTTTTAGACAAATTACTTTCTCTGTAAGCCTCCTTTATATTTCAGTTTGGACAATGTATTCATTTTACTTTGAAATTAAGTGTTTAAGTAGGTTATATTATCTATGAAGTTTATTTTAAGGGATCAAAGGGATGTTGTAAAATATTTATTATAAAAAGGAAGAGTTGAGTTCAACATGCCAAAACCACCAAGCTAGGCATTTTTTCCCTAAGACCTGGGGAGGACAATTATTTTGTTAACATCCTTCTGATTATTCTGGCTGAGATTCTTGAGGCATCCCTATAGCCATCCCCTAATATGTCATTTATTAGCTGGTAGCTTCTTTCAAACTAAGAAGTCTTGACTAGGTTATCCAGTTTAGTATTAACCTCTGTGGACTTTGCTTTCTCCTTGAAAGAGAGAATGGAAGCCCAAAGAGATTAAGCAATACTGTTTTCTCCGGCATCTGTTGGCATCACCCAGATCCCAGAGGTGGTGTTCTCTTCCTTTTTCGTCTTCTTGCTCTTGGATACAATCATTAAAAGCCAAATAACAGTTCTTTTAGTTTATCTTAGTATGTTCTACTCTTCATTGTCAGCTTTGGCACAACCTTTAAAATCCAAATAGTATTTGTCTTTGGTTGCTCCTGACATGTTCTACTCTTTTTGCTTTGCGTTGGTCAGTCCTTCTTCTCACTGGTTCCAGGCTTTAGTTTGCCCTTGACTAGACCCTGCTCCTTTGGCCTTTATGAAACCTGAGCTCCTCATATGCATCCTGGTCATTACACCAGGATAACATTTGATTTTCACACCAAAATCATTGACAGCTGGATACCACACATTCCTTTTTGGCAGTTGTTCACCTCTGGAGTCTTTAAAAATTTTCTCTCCATGAAAGTATATTTTTGAAAAGTCCACCTTGCTAATAATTAAAGACTGTGGGTCTTATTTTAGGATGTTAGTGCCCTGTGCCCTGATCATTGTGAATTCTCAATGCTGCATGACTCTCCCTTGGTGTTTGTTGAAGGTAATTCTGGGGGTATCTTCCTAGCCTTCACTGATCACCTCCTTTGGCCAACAACATGGACTCCCAACTGCTTTGTCTTTAACAAATATGACTCTGCCCCTCTGACCATAGCAGATTGGACCCAGGGTGGACAATCAAGCCAAATAGATGAGGCTCCCCTCATGTGCAAACACTCTTAATTAACCCAGAGATTTTCCTTTAGGATCAGTTTGATCATTGAGAGTCTTATATCATCTGAAAGTTTAAAGAAGTTTAACAGTAATTTATGCAGGATTTCTTGTCAAATTTGGCCTAATATTTGGAAAAAGTATAGAAATTTGGGAGAACTTTCAATTTTTAGTTTTTTTCTTATATAAAAAAGACAAAGAACATAAGGAAGAAGAAGACACAAAAATAAAATTATAATGATAGATTATGGCGTTCTGTCACACCAAAAGGAGCACGGGCAGGAAATGCACATTGTGGGTGAGCCAGTATAAAATGGCCCCAAGTGGGGTCTCTCTTAAGTGGCTTGCTGATGACAGGGTTTGTAAAGTTTGGCTTTACACAGACCCAAAATAGGCAGCACATAAGTTCCTTAGGCATTGGCGCCGGGATCACAGCCTGTGCCAGGAAAAAGCCTGCTATAGTTGGATTTCTGCAAAGTTTAGGAAAAGAAGCATTTTTAAAAGAACTTGCTGCTAGCAACCATTTTAGGCCGCCATCTTTGTTTCTGCAAGATAACAAGGTAACAGGTGTTCTGTGCCCCAACGCGTGTTTCTTGCTTGTCCTGTGACTGTGGACCATCTCTTCCCTGAGAAATCCAGAAAGCTCCTTCACCATCCAGCAGCTGCAGCCACACTGGCTTCAAAAAAGTCTGAACCCAAGCCTTGAAGAGGGGCCCGTCTTCCATGTCTGTCCTTCCTTAAGCTCCCTCAGCCCTAGAGGGCTCTTTAGAATTCTCTTTATATCGTATTGTCTCCTACTACAGCTTAATAATTATTTTAACTTCTCCAGTTAAAATAATGATGATGAAGATGTTGATAATGACAATAATAATAAGGGTAGTTACAAAAGGCTTTCAGCATGCTAAACACTGCTTTTTGTTTTGTTTTGTTTTCTTTTCTTTTTGAGACAGAGTTTCGCTCTTGTTACTCAGGCTGGAGTGCAATGGCGTGATCTTGGCTCACCACAACCTCCGCCTCCTGGGTTCAGGCAATTCTCCTGCCTCAGCCTCCTGAGTAGCTGGGATTACAGGCATGCACCACCATGCCCAGCTAATGTTTTGTATTTTTAGTAGAGACGGGGTTTCACCATGTTGACCAGGATGGGCTCGATCTCTTGACCACGTGATCCACCTGCCTCGGCCTCCCAAAGTGCTGGGATTACAGGCGTGAGCCACCACGCCCAGCCCAACACTAAGTTTTAAAATCCTGTGATGCCTGTTCATCATGATATGTGCAGACTGAACATACGGGGACATCATGACTTTTGTAGATTCAAGCACCACGTCTGGCAGTGGAAGAATGTCATTTTTGGATTTTGGAATCAATAGCCTTATATCCATTCCTCTTGAGAGATCTGTGTTGAATCCCCAAATGCCAAAATTCCCTCTGTATTTCACAAATTATGTTTTAAGTTTTGGGATGGAGATTATAACAGCCCACTGATAATACTCCACAGTGCAATGGAGTCTCATAGTGACTTCTGGAAGGTTCTAAAAATGCTTAGGCATAAAGTCAGATCTAACAGTCTCAAAGCTAGGTTTGTACCATGAATTACAGCCCCTTCTCTGCTCCAACCACAGAATGAAATCAGGAACATACACTCCTTTATAAAAGGTGATATCCAGGAAAAGCAAAGCTTTAACTAGCACTTAGTTATTGCGAACATGTAATGGTTAAGTGTCCTAAAATACAGAGAGGGGAGAGTAGAAAGAGGCTCTTGATTTCTGTTTCTGATAAAGTACTAAGGCTCTGGCCCTTCCCCCAACCCCGCCAGTTCCCTATGAGCATGGCCATGACCAGCTGGATGGTTAATCTCCCAGGAATAACCTTATCACCCAGGGAATGGAATTGGTAACTTTTAAAGAGCTATCTGGAGCCAGAGCTTCTGAGATTTTACGCCTTTAGGACCCAACTTTGTCAAAGAATCCAAAGCAAATTAACCTACTTCTCTACTCAGGAGAGAAGATGAAATATTTCCATCTTCACTGACAAGGACTTCTGGCAATTTGGATGAATGATGCCAAGAAAAGAAAGCAGCCGGCTTACAAACTTCCTAAGGAAACAAATTTCAAAAGAAACCCCAAACATCACGAATCACAGGCTGCTTTGTTTTCTTATGCATGACCTTCATCTACCTTCCTTTCATCAAGTAAATGGAAATGTGTCATTTTGATTAACAATGATTGCTTTCTTGTCATACATCAACTAAAATGAGATGTTTCACCGTCACAGATTTAAGGGGACACGGGCATATATTTAAGAGGTATTTTTTAAAGGCATTCTTGATTATCCATATCACTTAAAAAATTCTTGTCTTCTTTCCACCCCATCCCCTTTTCCTGCAGATATTTAAAGGTAAAGAAATGATATGGCATTCAGTGGTGGCTGATTATAGCCTTGTTGATGCCGCTGTATTGTTTACGAAATTGGTGCAATGACGCTGACTAGTAACAGGATTATAAATAAGCCAGAAAATAATTCTAGCTGGCAAGCTCTACAGTGATTTTCCTATGGAAATCATACCTCAAGCTCCTCTTTTTAAGGAGTTTTAATGCAACTTATTATTCACCTTCTCGGAGGCAACTTGTCTATGCAGAATGAAAAAGACAAGGAAAACAATGCAGACGGATCGTGATTGCAAACATCATGATTTTCAGAAGTGATTTTGCGTTAGGCTAGCTTTTCATCTAAACATGAACTTGGCTCTGGCCGGAAGGTGGTGGTCGTTCGCTGCGAGGGCATCAACATTTCTGGCGATTTCTACAGAAATAAGTTGTAGTACCTGGCTTTCCCCCACAAGCAGATGAACACCAACCTTTCCCGAAGCCCCTACCACTTCCGGACCCCCAGCTGCATCTTCTGCAGATCGTGCAAGCCATGCTGCCCCACAAGACCAAGCAAGGGCAGGCCTCCTTGGACCACCTCCAGGTGTTGGACAGCATCCCACGGCCCTACGACAAGAAAATGCAGATGGTGGTTCCTGCGGTCCTCAAGGTCGTGCGTCTGAAGCCCACAAGGAAGTTTGCCTAACTGGGGTGCATGGCTCACAAGGTTGGCTGGAAGTACCAGGTAGTGACAGCCACCCTGGAGGAGAAGAGGAAGAAGAAAGCCAAGATCCACTACCAGAAGAAGAAACAGCTCATGAGACTACGGAAACAAGCCGAGAAGAACATGGAGAAGAAAACTGATAAATACACAGAGGTCCTCAAGACCCATGGACTCCTGGTCTGAGCCCAATAAAGACTGTTAATTCCTCATGCTTGGCCTGGCCTGCCTTCCTCCATCGTCGCCCTGGAATGTGCGGGACCCAGGGGCAGCAGCTGTCCGGGTGCCACAGGCAACCTGGGACATAGGAAGCTCGGAGCAAGGAAACGGTCCAGTCACTGCCTGCCGAGGTTACCTGAAAGCACTCAGAACTGTGCAGGTGTCATTTATCTACGACCAATAGGAACAGCAACCAGTTACTATTAGCAAAAGGATCCGGAAGACTAATTGGAGAGGCCTTAGCTGTGAGTAGAGAGTCTGTCTAACTTTCACCTGGTCATGCACTATACTCTGCAGCTGTTAGAATGTGCACATGCTTGGGAACAGCATGAGCTTGCTGCTGTACAAAGGGTATTTATAGAGGCATGGACTGGGAAGATGGGCAACTTGGGGGTTACAGGCAATGCCGTGCTCTTCACTTGTGTTTTGTGATCAGAGTCAAATAAATTACTTTTAAAGAAAAAAAAAATTCTAGAGGGTGAGGGTAGTATGGAAACCTGTATAATGTTGGCAGAAGACTCCAGGGGCAGGAACCATCCTGTTGGTTTCTTAGTGTATTCTACACCTCTAGCACAGTACTCATATTATACTTATAATTCAATTCTTACCTTTTGAATATAGTTGTGAAGGTCAAACATTAAGTCTAAAACATATTGAAAATCATCCACAAAGGGATGGTAACTAAAGATAGGAAAGAGGAAGAGATTAAAAGAACGTGAATGAATGAATGATTACATCCTCAGGGCTAATAAACACTAAGCAAGATGACAGAGTTAGTATAACTATGATCTAGACAGTGAACTCCTTGGAGGCAGGAACTACACCACCCACCTGATTAGCCAGCATCCCACACCAAAGTCAGCTTTCAGTGATGCTTGTGGGATGAACAAGTAGATGGATAAATGCAGGAAGCTGCTTCAACCTAAACCTTTACCTCTAGGCACAAACAGCAGATGCTGTGCCTGTAATCTTTTTTTTTTCTTCTTCTTAAAAATCAATATAAATTAAGGCCATTTCCTCAGCAGAAAAAAAATAACCTGACAAGTGTAACTATGGTTGGGAATAGAACCTCTGGTGGATAAATGTGGGACCAACTATGCTTGAGAGCTCCTCCCTCCACAGGAGAAGCCTTTGTACTTTGTTCATGTTAAGCTAGTAAGACAGTATTGACGGCTGCATTAATTCTAATATCTATAACTTAGGCTAGTGGTATAAAGTGCCTGGTACTGGTCTGGAACCTGAGAGTGCTGTCACCAAATCAGATCCAGACATGGTGTGATCCACCAGAGAATGAGGGTAGACCCTCACCAATTAAGCTATCACTGGGTTTGGATGAAGTTCATTCAAAGCCTTGCACACAGGAAAAGTTCCAAGGAGCACATGAGTCTTCTCGACACAGAGAAATAGAAGCTGTCCAAGTTTAAGATAACAAACATATCCACAGGGTGCTTAGGGATGACTCAAAGATTCTAAGTCAAGACCAGGAGGCAGAGGCGCTATTAATTCGGTTGGCAAGGTCATGAGGATTTGGTTAGATGCAAATGGGTCCAATTTGGGGCATATCAATTTTGTGGTGACAGATGGACATACAGAAAGAAATAATGAGCAGAGTCAGAAATACATGTCTGGAGCTCCTACAAAGCAGGCGTCTCATAGAGATTTCCACGTTAATTGCATGTGGCTTCAGGTAATGCCAAAGCAGCAGAACACAGAGAGAGAGCACAGAAGGCACTACCAGAAAGGTGAAAAGAGCAGCCAAAAGGCACCAAAGGGACAGCCGGAAGGCAGGAGGGAGGTCAGGGCACCCTGGTGGTTCAGAAGAAAAGGAAGAAAAGAATCTCTAGAAGGCAATACTCAACAAATGATGAATTGGGCAGAGTTTACGGGGACATGGACTGAGGAAACGTCACTAAGAGATGATCAATGACCTTTCAGATAGGGGGTTTCAGTCGTATTGAGTGATGCAAACTAGAACATATGGATTAAGGGTGAATAGGTTTTGAGGCTGTGGGTTCTAAATATTCCTTTAATGTGAATTGATGGTTTTTAAAGTAAGAGCACATATGACACATCTTATAAGAGTCAACTGAAATGTTATTGCCCTGATAAGTTTTTGCTAATCTCTCAATCAGAAAAATTTCGATTTCTCTATACTATCAGAATACTTTGTCCATATAGTACCTATCATATTTTGCTGTGTACTATAATTGCCTTATTTTAGATGCAGCACTCCAATGCCTACCTAAAAGAGTTGGTTGAAATATCTGTAGAATGAATTAATTAAGATCTACTTGTTTACAGGTCTGCCTGTCCAGTGTGGTGTGGCTCTTACATTACATGAAATGTATTGGAGAAATTAATTAAAAGGTACATTATATTAATTTTTTAAAAAAGCTTATTAGTTGTAAAATATTACAGATATAGAAAATTGGCATTACATAAATGCTTAGTTTAATAAACTATGATAAGGTCATCACTTTGTAACCGTGACCCAAATCAAGACATAGAAATTTGCCAGACACCTCATAAGCCCTCTATATAATCATTCTAACCACAATTCCTTTCCCTAATCCTCCTATACGCCCTATAGCTTTATCACCTGACTATACATTCCTATATTTCATTTTCCCTGTTATTTTTATATGTCTCTATTAGTCTATAGGTTCCCCTTCTGCCTCTCCACACTTATTTTTCATGAAATATATTTGTTGAAGAAAACAAGTGTGTCCTACAGAGTTTCTTACTATCTGGATTTTGCTGATTGCATCTCTGTGGATCTACTGGATTGACCATTGGGTTTAATTTTTGGCAAGACAACTAAGAGATATTAATGTATTGTGTTCCTCTATCACAGCCACGGGATGTATGATTGGGCCTTTACTTTTGATAGCAGCAAATGATGTACAATGCCTAGATCTATTAATTTATCTGAGTTGCAAAATAGTAATATTCTAATTTAATCATTCTTCCTTTAGGTATTAGTTGAAATATTTCTACAAAGAGAAAATTTACTCATCTACTACTTGGTTATCAGGGATGTAACTCATATAGAAAAGACATAAAAGACGATTTTTGCCCTCATTATTTACCAGTTTTAAAACTCAGTGGTTCTTTATTATTTTCAAAAATGACAAATTATTTTCTATCCTTATAAATTCATGAACTTATTTATTGAGCTTCAGCTCAGTGAAAATATTGTCTTTACTGAACATTTCTTGTCTGATCTTTGTCCAGTGGGAATATCACTTTGACATGTTCCTAACAGTTTTCTAGCTTCCTTGCTGACAAGGTATGTGTATGACCCACTGCCCTAGGCTCATCTTGTACAAATTCTGCCCAGATATGGAATCCTTTATTCTCCCAATAATCTCTGTTTTCTTTTAGTGGAAAACAGTATTTGAAAATCATCTGGGTCCTAGAGAGGTCATTGCTGTTGGGTTGCTGTCTGTAAGCATTTTTAATACACGTGAGTAAAACTCATGAGGTATGATACTTCCAATTCAAATGCAATATCACAGGATTTTTAACCTTTTCTACCTGGCATTTATATTTACTTTCTTACACCAGAATACTGATTCTGGAGAACACAAGGGATTCAAGAATTAGGAAATCACATAATTGCCCATGTGATTTATTTCATTATGTATGAAACAGGCTCAGTTAACATTAGCTATTCTTTTTTTTTTTTTTTTTTTGAGATAGAGTTTCGCTCTTGTTACCCAGGCTGGAGTGCAATGGCGCGATCTCGGCTCACCGCAACCTCTGCCTCCTGGGTTCAAGCAATTCTCCTGCCTCAGCCTCCCGAGTAGCTGGGACCACAGGCATGCACCACCATGCCCAGCTAATTTTTGTATTTTTGGTAGAGACAGGGTTTCACCATGTCGACCAGGACGGTCTAGATCTCTTGACCTCGCGATCCACCCGCCTCGGCCTCCCAAAGTGCTGGAATTATAGGCGTGAGCCACCGCGCCCGGCCAACATTAGCTATTCTTTTACCATAAGTAAACATATAGCACTTACTATCAATCCATAAGTTAATAACTCTCTAGTTATTTTGGTTTATTGGCATTTACTCTCTAGTAAATTCCTCAGGAAAAGCTCATGGGAAAAATATTCTCCAAGTCATTGAGTTTGCCCGAGTCTTTCATGTGAATGTCAGTTTAGTTGGTTATAAAAGTTTTAGCTCACACTTCTTTCCTTAATTATCCTAAATATGTTATTCTGTTTCCTTATGGCATAAAGCAGTGTTGTAGGAAAGTCTGCTGAAAGTCTGATATTATCTCTGAATAAGTGATTTGATCTTTTTGCCTGGATGCCTACATTTTGGTTTTTCTTCAAAGTCTAATAAGTTTTATTAACTTTCTCTCAGTGTTGGTTATTTTGGGTCAGTTTCCTTAGTTATGTTGTGTGCACTTTCAATATGTAATTTAAAAAATTGTCTTGGGAAACATTTGAAAGTATAGTTTTGGGTATTTTTTTTTTTTGTTCCCTCATTTTGATTGTCTTTGGAGTCCTTATTATATGTATGTTGGATATTCTTTGACTGCCTTCTAAATTTGTCAGTTTCTCCAAATCCCTTAAAAAAAAAGAAAAAAACTTTCCCTTTTATTTTTTCTCCTTTCTGAATAATATAATTTCATTTATAAATCTTCCCAATTTGGATTTATGTATTTTTTTTTACATCATGTGACATTTTCTTAGTTTTTATGTTTTAGCTTGTTAGAAATAGTGAGTTATAGTTTTTATCTGAAAGGGAGTGGGCCTGTATTTGTAGCATTCTTTTATTTTTTATGTGAAGCTATTTGATTCTTTATTCTTTTTAAAATAATAACTTTACATAAGATCATGCCTATGTCTTAGTACATTTTGTGTTGCGTTACAGAATACCACAGACTGGATAATTTATAATGAAGAAAAATGTATTGGCTCACAGTTCTGAAGGCTGGAAAGTCCAATATCAAGATGTGAGCATCCGGCAAAAGCTTTCTTGCTG